GGTACCGTTAGGCTGCCTATTGACTATTTCAATTATAGTTATTTAACTAAGGTCACATTAAAACATTGCTTCTTATCTTGGCTTGGGTCAAAATTCCATTATTTAAACCAGCCCCAGTCTCCAGCTAAGATGCAGTGGCAAAACAGGTGGCTTAAAATGAAGAAAACAATTGTTTTAAGGTCCTTTGCAAAACTGCAGTTGGAAAGAGAGGGCTACAAGTTTAAGATGGAAGCAAACTATGGTCATTAGAAGCCAAGATAAGTTATTATTCTTTAAGAAGTCAGTTAACCTACCTGTCAATGAATACTTCAGCTTCAACCATAACAATACAAGAACACACAATAGATACAAACTTAAGGTTCATTGCACCAAACTTGACTGTAGGAAATACAACTTCAGCAACAGAGGGGTCAATGTCTGGAATACTCTACCTGACTCTGTGGTTTCTTCCCCAAACCCCAAAAACTTCAACCTTAGACTGTCTACTATTGACTTCACCCCTTTCCTAAGAGGTCTGTCGGGGGCGTGCATAAGCGCACCAACGTGCCTACCATCCCTGTCCTACTGTTTCTTTTTATTTTTCTTATATGTATCTATTTAATGTATTCATAACTATGTTTATACTTATACCATGACAAAATAAAATAAATAAATAAAAATATCCATCCTGAGAAACCAGGGAAGGAATTCTAACCAAGAGGAAAAATGGGGGAAAAAAGAATAAATTCACCTGAAAATAACCAACATAGCTGTACTTTTAAAGAAGTTCCAGCAAATTGAGACTTGAAAGCCTTCCTATGTTGCATTTTGCCTCTTGAAGTTAGAATCAAGATGACGTGATGCGTTAATACCACTTTATAATGCCCTGATAAGACCATACTTGGAATAAAGCATCCAGTTTCAGTCGCCACAATATAAACAAGATGTTGAGATTCTAGACAGAGTGCAGAGACTGGAGGCTAAAACATAACAAAAACTTTTGCAGGAATTGGGTATATCTAGTTTAATGAAAAGTGTCACGATAGCAGTCTTCCAATATCTCAGGGGCTGCCCCAAAGAAGAAGGAGTCAAGCTACTCTCCAAAGCACCTGAAGGCAGGACAAGAAGCAACAGATGGAAACTAATCAAGGAGAGAAGCAACCTGGAATTAAGGAGAAATTTTCTGACAGCTATAAGAATTAATCAGTGGAAAGACTTGTTGTGGGTACTCCAACACTGGAAGTTTTTAAGAGGAGACTGGACAACTATTTGAAATGGTATAATGCTTGAGCAGGGGGTTGGACTAGAAGACCTCCAGGGTCTCTTCCAACTCTGTCATTCTGTTCAGTTGGCTTTTAGAATCTCAAAGAGGCAGTGATAATTTTAAAAAAAAATCAGAGCCATAATATAATAGCTCAATTATTATACATCCACTGGTGTTCGTTTGCAAAATTAATTTTAAATTAGGCATTTAGAGAGGTCTTAGGGTGAGCATATGGTAACATGATTCATATTTCTGACTAAGTCCAGATCACTTGGAATATTTCCTCCTTAATAATTGTTCCTTAGCATCCTTAAGCACATAAACGCATTTCTGTTCTCATCCTTAGGAAGATTCTAAAGGGGACTTTTTCCTCTGGAGAATTAGCACAATTGGTGTTAATTAGCATGGTGTGGGGTTCAAATTCACAATAGGGATCCTTCAGGTTTAAATGAAAGGTTTGTAATTTCTCAGATTTTTTTTTTCTTTGTGAGCATGGGATTAGGTAAATAAAGGGTTAAAGAGAAAAAAAAGGCCAACAGCATATTAGGATAATCACAAATACCAAAAAACATAATCATATAACTGCCCAGAGTCTCCTTATCAATGAGATGGGCAGTACAGGAATTTAATAAGCTTTTATAGAAATTAAATTGTGCGCCTTCATTTTGCATACAGGTAGTCCTTCACTTACAACATTAATGGAGAGTGAAATTTGTAAGTCATGATGGTTGTTAAGTTGAGGCACTTACGTGACTAATCCAGTTTTATGATCTTTTTTTTCTTGCAGTGGTTAATAAGCAAACACCACAGCTGTAAATCAGGCTGGAATTGTTAAAAGCAAATCGATGCATCCCTATTAGGTTTGCTTTTTGCCAGAAAATGGGTAACTGTGGTGTGCATGTGTGTCCATGTCTGTGTCCGTGTGTCTGTGTGTGTCACTGTTGGACCTCCAGAACAAGCTCACACCATTGAGGGTCAGTCATAATTCCAAACGGTTGCTGAGCGGCAAGTCATTAAGCGAGGACTACCTGTACAGTGTGTGCCCTTCTGGTCACTGCAACTCCAAAGGGTTAAAAACGGAGCTAAAGGCGGTTCAAAGGAAGCCAACGAAGATGATTCAGAGGTTGGAAAGGTTTCACTAGGAGGAAAAGTTGTGACATTTGGGCCTTGTAGCCTGGAAAGGAGGCAGGTGAAGGGGACAGGATTTAAGCGCCCAAAATTACGCACCTTTATTGAATAAAGCGGAAAAGGAGACAGGATTTTCTTTCTCCCAAAATATTACAATCAAAGGTAGTCTAGTGAAATGGAACGCTGGAAGAAGCAGGACAAATGAAAATATCTTTTTATATAACATATTTAAAAAAAAAAAATCTCTTGGAATTCACTATCCCGAGTTACAGGCAGTCCTGGACTTATGACCACGACTGAGCCCAAAATTTGTATTGCCGAGCAAGACAAAATCAGTTTTGTCCCATTCTATGACCTTCCTCGCCACTGTTATTAAATGAATCACTGCAGTCATTAAGCTGGTAACACGGCCGTTAAATGAATGTAGTTCTCCATTGACTTCCACTGGTTAGAAGGTCGCAAAAGGGGATCCCCTACAACCGTCATAAACACGAGCCCTTTGCCAAGCATTTGCAGTTTGGTCATAGGAGCACAGGGAGGCTGCAATGATTGTGTGAGATATGGTCACAGGTCAGCTTTTCTCAGTGCCGTTGTAACCTCGAACGGTCACTAAACGGTTATAAGGAGAGGACTACCTGTAATGTGGCTTGTTTATTTCCAGCTGTTGGCATTCATAGATTTTTGCAAAATGCCAGGATGAATTTTCAGACCCTGCACTCAAGGCTTGGCAGTGTGAAATAATACGCAATTGTTTCCCTCAATCCTAAGGAGCACAGATAATTTTTCTCCCTGGGCACCAAGAAAAAAAAATATCTGCTCTGAATCCACGTAGGTGTCAGGAAGGGCATCTGGCTGGTAAGAGCTCAGCTCCTTTCGGTCGCCTGAACTCTACCCTGAGTTAAGGGACAAGAGTCGTAAAAGGGGAGTTTCCCATAAGGAGAAGTTGTTTTACTCTCTTTTTTCTCACTAACTCTGAAAATGAGAGAAAAGGTTTCTGGAATCGGTTGGCATTTGAATTTTAAAAACAGAACACTGAAAGTTCAGCCAGACCATTATGTCGCTTTGGTTTATTACTAAACTCATTTCATCCCACAGAAAAACTGCCACCATTCATCTAATTCTTCCTTTCTGGAAGTAATTAACTTATTCTGCCTTATTCTGTCCAACTTTGCCATTAGCCCCAGAGAGTACCAGTGTGATAAATGTTAAATTTCACACCTGAATATCATCCCCCTATGAAAATTCTGTATGAATAGTTGAGTTATAATCGTCATTGAGCCGGCAATTTTGACTGAAAATTGTGACACCTGTAAAGTAGGTCATCAGACAATAGCACCTGAATTTTGCAATATTTTTTTTTTCCTGGCAGCTGACGGTGTTCAGCAGACCCCTTCCTTGCTATGGGAGCTAGTAAAAAAATGTTGTAAATTGTAAGCAAGTGATCTTCAAGGCTGGATCATTTTTTTTAAGGGTCCATTGATCGTAAATTGAGGGCTATCTGCATCCAACCAAAAATACTTCTCCCACATGTAAGCTGGTCCTCGACTTACAACAGTTCATTGACTGACCGTTCAAAGTTACAATGGCACTGAAAAAAGTGACATACGACCGTTTTTCAGAGTTACAACCTTTGCAGCATCCTTATAATCTTGTGATCAAAATTCAGACACTTGGTAAGTGACTCGTGTTTATGATGGTCCCGGGGTGATGTGATCAACAACTTTTGCAACCTTCTGACAAACAGAGTTTGTGGGGAAGCCAGATTCAATTTATACAACCGGGTTACTAAATTATCAGCACTTAACAACTGAGGTAAGAAGAAAGGTCATAAAATGGGGTGAGGCTCACTTAACAAACGCCTCACTTAAGAACGGAAAGGTTGGGCTCTTGTGATCCTAAGTCAAGGACTACCTGTACAACTAAACACTCTCTCTCTTTGGGGATGACCATTTTATACAAATTCAGCACCCCCTCCCAATAAAACTAATTTTTTAGATTTGTGTGAGACAAAATAGAAACTAGCTATTCAGGCAACTGGAGATGAGCAGAGGCATCTGCAAAACTGAAATTCAAGAACGCCTTAAGTTGTCTAGAAACAGGATCGTGACCTCTTTTTTTTAAATCAAAGCTTTGTAAGAAGTCACCACTCCAGAATGAAGGAAAATTAACCACCACCAGAGGAATAATATTGCAAAAAAAGGGAGCTCTCTTAACTAATTCGTTTGCCTGGGCTGGTGAAAGGAATTCTAGGTAAGGTAAGATTTGCCTTGCACACAAAACGCACAAACAGATTTCTGCACATTACAGAAGTTGGAACAGACGCACTGTTTACTAATAATACCTAATACACCCATTTTTACACACATACGAAGAGAGAATTTGGGACGACATACGCAGCCTGTTCTTAATTCCCCACTCCCAATTTAATTCCACCCCATCTACTTGCAAGAAACCCAACTCATTATAAGCCAAACCTGGATGTGGGGGGGGGGGGAGATTTATATAGGAAATATAACTTGGGTGGAGATGCAGCTCTTGGGGCTCAGCTCACTCCAAGATCCAACCCTTAGAGATGGAATAAAGCCTCCAAACGAGGAAGAACATTTGGGGAGGGTCCCGGTCTACTCACGAGTGGTGTTGTATTTGACTCCGTTGACGTATTCGGGGCAAGGTCGCTCCACCAGATCCCCGCCGCTGCTCCGTGGCCAGCAGGTCCCAATCTGGTCCATGGTGGCCCGACATGATGGACCTTAACGCCCCGTTAAGAGGAGGAGGAGGAGGAGGAGGAGAAGTGAAGGAAGAGAAGCGTGGAAGGGAGAGAAGAAGAAGAAGACAAAAGAGAGAAAAGAAATAAAATTCATTCCAGCTCCCGGCGGCGTGGAAAGCCGAAGCCGTGCAAAAGTGAGATTCTCTAACACACCTTCGCCGCCCCCTGCCCTGCGCCTGCCTCTCCTTCGCCCTACCGTCAAAGCTCTCCTGCAGGGCGTCCCAGAGGCTGCAGTTGATGTCCCAATCCTCAATGAAAAAGTGGAGAATCGTGGTTTTGTTCATGGCGAGTCTTGGCAAGGAATCCTGACTTTCCCCAGGTGCAGTTCTGCTTCTGCCCTCACGCCTGGAGAGGTTCGGAATTAAAGCCAAGCTGCTTCTCTGGGTTTCTCGGGGTGCATCCCTCTCTCTCTCTTTCTCCCTCCCTCTTTCTCTCTCTCTCTCTCCCCTCCCTCCCACTGCTCAGCGCTTCTGAGTCTTAGAGGGCAGGCAGGCAGGCGTGTTACAGATGAGGCTTCCTCGCTTCTTCTCAAACCATCAGGAGGACAAGCAATAACGCGGCAGGAACTCCCAGCAAGGGGCTTTCGCCCCCACCCGCAGAGCTTCGCCAACCCCCCCCACCCCCCCCCCCCAGCAGCCCCAGAATCCGGCAATTGGCTGAGAGAGGACTAATCTATTCCCCCCCCCGCCCTTTGGTGGGGAAGAAGTGGGGGGGAGGGAGTCCCACGTGCGTGTGTGCGCGCCGTACAGTCAGCATTCTCCTTGCTTTGGCGGTTCCCTTTTTCCAGCAGGGAGTCTCCCCTCAAGGCAATGGGGTGGTTGGGGTCTGGATGAGAGGGAGACGGAAGGGGAAAGGCTCTTCCTTCCTTTTCTAGGCAACCGGGCCAGTTTGGGGGGACCCATAGAGGAAAGGAAGGTTTTCTGTACGTTCCATCATGCTCCACGACACAAGGACAAATTCTTTGTGTGTCCAATTGCACTTGGCCAATAAAGAATTCTATTCCATTCTACTCTACTCTACCCTACTTCACTCTACTCCACACTTGCTGTTCTGTTCTGTTCCATTATTTTTGTTCTGTTCTGTTCGTTCTTTTCTATTCCATTCTGTATTTTCTATTCTATTCTATTCTTTTCTATTCTATTCCATTCCATATTCTATTTCTATGTCCTATCCCTATTCTATTCTATTCTCTCCTATTCTTATTCCTATATTCTATTCCATTCCATTCCATTCTAATTCTTATTCCGATCCCTATATTCTATTCTATTCTATTTCTATTCTGTTTCTATTCTATTTCAATTTCAATTTCTATTCTATTCTATTCTATCCCATTCCATATTCTATTCTATTCTATTCCATTCTATCCCATTCCATTCCATATTCCATTCCATTCTATTCTATCCCATTCCATATTCTATTCTATTCTATTTTATTCCATTCCATTCCATTCCATTCTATCCCATTCCATTCCATATTCCATTCCATATTCCATTCCATTCCATTCCATTCCATTCCATTCTATTCTATTCTATTCTATTCTATCCTATCCCATTCCATATTCTATTCTATTCTATTCTATTCTATTCTATTCTATTCTATTCTATTCTGTTCTGTTCTGTTCTGTTCTGTTCTGTTCTATCCCATTCCATATTCTATTCTATTCTATTCTATTCTATTCTATTCTATTCTACTTTGGGGGAACTGAGGTTGAAGCGGTGGAAGCTTACCCGATATTTGGAGATCCCCTTTATCTCTCAAGCTCAACCTAGCCTACTTCGCAGGGTGGTTGTAAGGAGAAGAGAAGGAGTGCTATTTTGCTGCACCTTATAAGCATCATCGAGAGGGTAAGAAGCACAGGAATCTGACTAACAGATAATGCCCACGGAGAAAGAACCCAGCTCAGTCTTTCTCAGCCCGGAAAACTTTGAATTCTGGGAGCTGAAGTCCACACGTGCTTCCTAGGGAATTCTGGGAGTTCAAGTCTATGCATGCTAGCTGGGGAATTCTGGGAAGTTGAAGGTCAGGTGTGGTGGCTGAGGAATTATGGGATGTGAAATTCATGCAAGCTGCCTGGGGAATTCTGGGAATTGAAGTCCACACATCTTTGAAAGTTGCTGAGACACTGACCTCAAGGACAGACATTTTTCCTCAGAGTTGTTAGTTTTAGTTTAGTTTTGTTTTACTTTATTGTCTCACCTCCTGAGATTCAAGGCCACGGATGTCCACTTAAGTCTTCCCAACAATTTACTTTTTATTAAACGTGCTTGCTATCCATCTCCCCGTGAGTGGACAGTGTTAAAGCACACAGGTCTTTAAGGCATTAAAAAAAATCATAACACGAGCTGTGAAATTCCGGTGACTATGTCACTGTATCCACATACATTGTCTATTAGCATGAGGCAGAAGTGAGTCGCCTCTATCTTTCTTCCAGCCCTATTTTTAAAATTCTCCTTCTAACCTAAAGTGCCGGGATCTCTTCGCGGCCTCCCATCCAGCCCTTGGCTGGCTTATTAGTTTTGATTAGTTTTGGTCAGCACAACATAAAAAAAAAGATGTTGAGGCTCTAGAAAGAGAAGTGGAACAAAGATGATCAGGGGGTTGCAGGCTAAAATATACGAAGAATGATTGCAGGAATTAGGTATGTTTAGCTTAAAGAAATGGAGGACTAGAGGAGACATGATAGCAGTCTTCCAATATCTGAGGGGCTTCCTCAAAGAAGAGAGAGTCAAGCTATTCTCCAAGGCACCCGAGGGCAGGACAAGAAGCAACGGGTGGAAACTAATCAAGGAGAGAAGCAACCTAGAATTAAGGAGAAACTGTATGTCAGTAAGAAAAATTAATCAGTGGAACAACTTGCCTTCAGGAGTTGTGAATGCTGGAAGTTTTAAGGATAGCCATTTGAATTGGGATAGTATAGAGCAGGGGTCTCCAACCTTGGTCACTTTAAGCCTGGTGGACTTCAACTTCCAGAATTCTGGGAGTTGAAG